GGGGATTGCATTTCATACATGCATAGAACTCTCTCCACTTCCATAAGAGCTGTACTCATATATCCATCACTCCATAGTTGCAACTAAGGGTTTACACTAGAAGAATCAGTGCAAAGTTTGTAACCCCAAGTTAGCTAATGATATAAACTTGTCACTATAAAGTCACGAGTTTGAATTCCAGCTTTCTTTGTTAAACTAATCAGTTATGGGCAACTTCTATTGATTTACCTCCTTGTAGTCCTTTACGGGTTAGGATTACAAGGAGGAGTAGTTTACCCATTGTAAATCCTCAAGTAGTGATTGCAGGTTTCTTTCGTCACCTTGAAATATTTCACTCTGATCATCTGATTTGTACTTTCAATATATATATATATATATAGGCATTACTGGCTGCATGGGCACTTGCATGCAAAGATAGCGGCAGCACAGTGGACATTTCAGGCGGGGAGTTCTTACTGAATCCGGTGAGGTTAAGCGGTCCATGCGCCGGCCCGATAACGTTTGCTGTGTGGGGCGTTTTGAAGGCTCCGGAAAAGACTTTCCTCGACAGCTCGGACTGGATACTGTTTGAGGATCTGCAACGGTTAACCGTCACCGGGAACGGCGTTTTAGATGGTCAGGGTGCATACGCCTGGAGTGTGAACAATTGCAAAGTTAACCCCAACTGCGAACCTTTTCCTACGGTATGTATATACATTCATTTAATTTTCCTAGATATACTTGCTAATATCCCGCATTTCTTAATTGGATTACTTTTACATTTTTCTTTATAAATTATGTTGGCAAGTAATTGTTACTTATAAGGAAAAAATGTATTATTTTTGCATGATTAGTATTATCTTTAATTTTTCAGTATAAATATTATATTTGTCTCTCGAAAAAGGATTCGTGAGACGGTCTCAAACACGTTTCTGCTTTCTTAATTATATAAATATAATTCTAATACTTACTTTTTTTTCTTGAATTATTGATGTTTAGAATTTGAAATTCGAAAATGTCATTTATGGACGTATTGAAGGGATAACTTCACGGAATAGTAAATTTTTTAACATTAAAATCGTCGAAAGTCAACACGTGGAGATTGAAAATATAAGAATAACGGCGCCGGCGGATAGCAAAAATACCGACGGAATTCACATCGGCCGGTCACAATTTGTGCAAATCAATAATGTGGATATTGGGACAGGGGACGATTGCATTTCGTTAGGGCCAGGAACCACAAACGTTGTGATCAGTCAGGTGAATTGTGGCCCTGGCCATGGCATTAGCATTGGAAGCATAGGAGAAAATGAAAATGAAGAAGATGTGAGTGGAATTATTGTGAAGAATTGCAATATCACAGGCACCACAAATGGGCTTAGGATCAAAACATGGGCACCTTCTCCTCCCAGCAAGGTCTACAACATTACCTATCAAGACATTAGTTTGAATGGTGTTAAAAACCCGATTCTCATCGATCAACACTACTGTCCCAACGACCAATGCCAACATCAGGTATAGCTCCCTAATTTAGTATATAGTATTTGAAGGAATAAATAATGTGAGTATTATGTTCAAAGTGGACAAATCTCTTATGCGCACTTGTATTTGGGAGTGTGGGGCCCAAGAATTAAATTGAATTAATTAATTAATTAATATTTAATATTTAATGTGTGTGTACGATATGATCAAACAGGGGGAATCATCAGTTGAAATCTCAGACATCAGATACTTAAACATTTATGGGAGCTCCCAGGACGAGTTGTCTGCAAAATTCAATTGCAGCGGAAAAGTGCCGTGTAAAGACATAAAGATCAAGAGCTTGAATATAGTATGCAATGGTCATCAACCCACGAAAGCAGCTTGCTACAATTTTAATGGGAAATTTGATCATTGTCAGTGTCCAAATCGTTGCGGCTGAGATGATGTTAGTTGTATGTGGTAGCTTAGCATAGATACATACATTTTATGGTAGCTTATTTTTCTACATACTTCTAATTATACGGGTTCTTCAACCTTGTATTACTATTAATAAAATTGGGGGTTTTTATTGGTCGTTGGACACTTTTGGTCCTCCGTCTAAATTTCTGTTTGTTGACCGTCTAAATGAGGGGCATTTTTGTCAATTCTGTCGTTTTATATTTTATTTTCTTATTTAATTCTTTTACAAATTTTTTTAAATTTATTATTAAAAATTATTATAAATGCCAACTCAGCTGCCATATAAGCAGGTAACCTGCTAAAATTGATGGTAACCTGCTATCCAGTGAAATTGCATACATTTGGCCTAATAGTTAAGGCGTCAGTTTTTAAATTACTTAAAATTTTTATATGTTAAATCTTGTCTCTCAAATATATATACACAAGCATAGGTACAATTAAAAACAACCACTACATTCTCACTCTTTAGCTAGTCCAAAGGCATTTAGAGGGGTGATCACTACTGGAAATTCTGAAATTTCCGACCACCTGAAAATGATCTTATATTAAGTTGATACCAAAAAGTGGTCGGAAATAGCAACAAAGGTTTTTCCGGATACCAAAAGTGGTTGGAACAAGACTTTCAACTTGATTTATGATCACTTTCAGGTGGTCGGAAATTTCAGAATTTCCAGTAGTGGATTCTGTAAAAAATACTGTATGTACTCTTAGTTTTTACTCTCAAAATATTTTTACTCCACACACAAAATTTTTATGTAGACACTTGTATGGAGAGTTGGGACCCACATAAAAAAGAAGAAGTAGATATCAGTGTCTACTACATTAGGGAGAAATTTAGAAAGTAAGATTTGGGTATCCATGTAGTAAAACTTATTCGGTAAAAATGCAACTGCCTAGGATTTCCCACAAACTGATAATCTAGTTACTATTAAAACGGTATTGGGAGTACTATTTTTCTCTCATAAGTATATAAAGAACAAACCCTACCATCCGCCTCCGGCTTCCTGCCCCATTTACCCTTCAACAAGCACAGTGGTGATAGCAGATCAGTGGAAGCTATGGTAACCGCGACAGCGATAAGCGATCGTTGGTTGTCGGTAGCGAGGTCAGAGGCCACTGCAAAATTCGACAACAGAGTTGTTGATCGGTCAACCTTTGTCACATTGTTGTCTTTACCCTGAAAACTACCGCGTGGTATGAAACTATGAAAGGCCTCATTTAACATGAAATTTTTTAATTAGTTTTTATTATTTTGCTTAACTAGTATTTACACCCGTGCGATGCACGGAATACATTTGTTATTATTATTATTATTATTATTATTATTATTATGATTATTATTATTATTATTATTATTATTATGATTATTATTATTATTATTATTATTATAATAATAATAATAATAATGATAATAATGATAATAATGATAATAATAATAATAATGATAATAATAATAATAATGATAATAATAATAATAACAATAATAATAATAATAATAATAATAATAATAATAATAATAATAATAATAATAATAATAATAATAATAATAATTGTTAATTCCAGCAATGGTCCCCCGAGTATGATGATTTTCCAGATTTGGTCCCCGTCTTTTAATTTGGACAATTTAACCACCCGTCTATTAAATTCTTTCCAATTGAGGTCCTTCCGTCAATGGGGGGTTAAGTCAGCGTCAATTTCAGGGGCATTTTGGTACATTTACTTACTATGCGTATTTGTACTCTTTAATACGTGAAATAAAATATAAAAAAATACCCATCTTATACGAGAAATACTGAAATACCCGATTTATTCTTTAAAGTCGTTTTGATTTGCCCAACCTTAACCGCAGAGAAAGAAGAAGTAAACAATGGGAAGGAAGCAAGCTAGGTAATGAAAATCCCCAAATTTCCCCATCTTAAACCATAATCGCAGTTGCTGAGAAGCTTGGGAGAGAACGAACGAAGAACATTGATGGAATCGAGAGGGAAGCAAGCTAGAGTTGGTCGCAACTCTGCTCCAGTAGGTAAGTTTGGTTCTTCAGCTTGTTTTTATGGTGTAGGAGAACGAATGTCTGTGTTGTGTTGTTTAGTATATAATTTTTGTGTTGTCTGTTGTATATTGTGCTTAGTATAGGTACATGTGGGGACCATAGGTACATGTGGGGACCTTTTTGTGGTTGAAAATGGTGTGTGGACTAATGTTTGTCTGATTATGCATATGTTGGGGACCATTGTTGTTTTTTTTTTTTTTTTTTTTTTTTCTAAAGCATTTACTGTAAAGTAGTGTAAAGTGGACTTCCATGATGTGTGCATTACAGTGGACCATTATATGTTGTCTAAAGTGCATTGGAAATTTGAATCATTGATTTCATGGATTTGTACTCTTAAACTAAGACATGGAGGAATGATAAGTCATGATTTACCAGCTAAATATTTAGGAGGTAGTGTTAGTGTATTTAATGATATGGTAGAAGATGAGTGGGGGTTAATTTGTTTAAAGGAGAAGGTTGGGGAGATTGGTTATGCAATGGATGATAATTTGAGGTACTTCATGACCACAGAAATGAGGTTGCAAGAATTGGTTAAAGACTTTGAGGTTTGGAATTTACTTAACCAATGTTGTAGTCCTAAGGTCTTAGAAATCTGGATGGTAAAAGGAGGGTTTGGTGATGATGCAGATGTTTGCAGTGCAAATGAAGAGGAGTATGACGGCAGTGGGTCTGAGTGGTGTGGCAGTGGAGATGAATTGGATGGTACTGATGAGGAATACAATTCAGATGAGTTAGAGGATATAAGTGTGTATGATGATGAAGAATTTGTCAAAAATATAGATATTACTGCAGAGTTTGGAGGCTTAGGTGATGTACAACCCCAACTCCCACAACCCATACAACCCCCACCAGTAGATGATATTGTCAATTACTCTGATGAAGGGAACATGGTAGGCAGTGATGGTGAGGGTATAGGGATCAAATGGCAAAAGTTTTTGAAAGAATCTGAACGTACTTGTCCTAAATTTGAATTGGGACTAAACTTTAAAGAAAAGGGGAGTTTAGAGAAGCTATAACAAATTATGCAATCATGGAGCGGAAGGAAATGAAATATCACAAAAATGACAAAGTTAGATGTGCGGTGAAGTGCAAGCATGAAAGCTGTCCTTGGAAGGTTATCCTTAGGTTTAATAAAGATGATAAATGTTGGAGGCTATCTGTGGTGAAGGACAAACATGACGGCTGTGTAAGGACTCAGAATAATTCAATGGTCAATTCCTCTATTGTTGCTAAGAGATGGAAACAACAAATTAGAGGAAATTTGGAATGGAAAACTAATTCCTTTTTAGAAAAAATCCTAACTGATGACCATTACATTCTGAGTAAGAAGCAAGCATGGAGGGCTTTAGTGAAAGAAAAAGGTGAAATTAAACATGAAGAATAAGATTACTTCAATAAGATTTGGAGTTATTGCTTGGAAATAAAAAGAACTAATCCAAACTGTACTTGTGAAGTGAAGGTGAGTGACCTTAAAGAAAATGGAAAAGAGAGATTTTTAAGGATGTATATCTGTTGGGAAGCTACAAGGGAAGGATTTAAGCACTGCAGGAAAATCATTGGCCTAGATGGGTGTCACTTGAAGTGTAAAATTGGAGGACAATTGTTGACAGCAGTTGGAATAGATGCAAATGAAAGTTTATTCCCAATTGCCTATGCAGTTGTAGAAGGTGAGAACAAAGACTCTTGGACTTGGTTTCTACAGTTTCTAAAGAAAAACTTGAAGCTTGGTCCCTTAGTACAGAGTTAGTACACACTAATGTCAGACAAGCAAAAGGGTCTCATACAAGCTTGTGAAAGTACCTTACAAGGAGTTAGGCATATATTTTGTGTCAGACACTTGCACAATAACATGAGGGTGGCTGGTTTCACTGCCAATGCTATAAAGGATGCCTTGTGGAAAGCAGCAAGAGCCACTACTGTGAATAACTTTTCAACAGCATTACTTGAGTTAAGAAAATTGGATGAAAATGCTTATGTTTGGCTTGGTGATAAGGATGAGATAAAGGATTTCTGATAAAACTCCAAAAGGATAGGAAACTCAATACAAATAGTTAATGAAGTCTACGTAAATAAATCCTATCTAAGTGGAAAGCCACATAAGACTAAGTCTAGTCTAAAGCTTATTAAATGTGACATATATAAAATGTGACAGAATATTAATCTGACTAACACTCCCCCTCAAGCTCAAGGGTGATGAGCAACAACATTGAGCTTGTCCCGAAGAGCTGAAAAGCGCGGTCCCGGTAGAGGCTTGGTGAAAATATCTGCAAGCTGATCCTTAGTAGACACAAAGTTGACCACTAAGTCCCCTGAAGCGACCTTGTCCCGAACGAAGTGAAAATCTATTTCAACATGCTTAGTCCTGGCGTGGAAGACTGGGTTCGCACATAAGTAGGTGGCACCCAAATTGTCGCACCATAGAGTGGGTGGTGCACCAGTGTGTAAGCCAAGCTCCTTGAGTAACGAGACAACCCAAGTGACCTCTGCAGCAACATCGGCTAGGGCCTTGTACTCAGCTTCAGTCGACGACCGGGCTACTGTGCGCTGTTTCCTGGAAAGCCACGAAATCAGATTCTTACCCAAGAACACTGCATACCCTCCAGTACTCTTCCTGTCTAGAGGACAACCTGCCCAATCGGAATCGGAGTAAGCGTGGATGGCAGCGGAGCGTGATACTGTGATGCGGAGACCGTAATCCAGAGTACCCTTGATATACCGTAGGACCCGTTTAGCCAAGCCCCAATGATCAGTAGTCGGCGTGTGCATGAACTGACAGAGGCGATTCACTGAATACGAGAGATCCGGCCTCGTAATAGTCAAATACTGTAGAGCCCCAACTATGCGACGATATTGTGTCGGGTTATCATGCGGGACAGCAGTAGACGACACCGGCTGGGTGACCGATGCGGGTGTGACCAAGGGCTTACAATCCAACATACCTGCCCGAGTCAACATATCATTCATATACCTGTGTTGAGATAACATAATACCGTCGGTAGTGCGTATCGTCTCAATACCAAGAAAGAAACCAGGCGAGCCAAGATCTCGTATCTTAAAAGTCGTGGACAAACGCTGGAGTAGGGAGGTAATGAGCGTAGGGTCATTACCCATCATGATGATATCGTCGACATACACCAGCAGGAAGACACGTGAGTCACCGGATGAGTAATGAAAAAGGGAGACGTCGGTTTTAGACGCAGAAAACCCTGTAGAGAGTAAATAGTCGTGCAGTCTTTTGAACCACGCCCGTGGGGCTTGCTTGAGTCCATACAAAGATCGCTGTAAGTGGCACACATGGTCAGGATGATTCGGGTCCTCATACCCTGGCGGCTGCTTCATATACACTGTCTCCGCTAAGTGCCCATTTAAAAAGGCATTGTGGACGTCTAGTTGCCGTAGAGTCCAGTTATGTGAGACGGCTAGAGAGAACAGCATCCTGACTGTAGTCGGTTTGACTACAGGACTAAACGTGTCAAAAAAGTCCTCACCCGCTACCTGGTTGAATCCCTTCGCAACCAGGCGAGCCTTGTACCGTTCCACGGAGCCATCTGCGGTCCGTTTGGTACGGAACACCCACTTGCACCCGATAATGTTCATATCCGGTGTAGGAGCCACCAGAGTCCAAGTATTGTTATGTAATAACGCATTGAACTCCTGGTCCATTGCGTCCCGCCATTCTGAGTGTCCGACTGCTTGTGAATAGCAAGTGGGGTCAGTTGTCACAGTGAGGGCTTGAAAGCTTTCACTAGTACCACGAGTCATATGCCGTAACCGCATCGTATGGCCTCGGTCTTGAGGCTCGGTCCGGACAGCCCTTTTTCTCCGAGCTTTGGGCCGTGCCGGACCTTCAATAGTCAAGGGGGCCGGCTCTTGGGCCATAGGCATCGGACTTGGAGACCGGGGCCTTCCCAAGTCAGCAGTTGTTGTGGGCCCAGTTTGTGTGACAACTGGGCTTGACGCCCAAGGCAAAGCAGGTGTTATAGACGGTGCTGATTCCTGTGAATTCAATTCTGAAAAAGGGAAAACAGTTTCGTCAAAGCGTACATGACGGCAGATATAAATTTTCCCACTCATTAGATCCATGCATCTATAACCCCTAAAGGATGGGGGGTAACCTAGGAAGACGCAGGGTGTCGAGCGATATTCCATCTTGTGCCGATTATATGGCCTTAGATAGGGAAAACACCGACACCCGAAGACTCGTAGAAAAGTGTATGGAGGTGTGGTTTTGTATAGGCAACTGTATGGACTTTCATAGTTTAGAACGGAGGTGGGTAAGTAGTAGATTAAATTTGTGGCTGTTTCAAAGGCGTAGTCCCAGTATTGTGGTGGGACACAGCCTTCGGCTAGGAGGGCTAACCCAGTTTCGACAATGTGTCGGTTTTTGCGTTCAACGCGGCCATTTTGTTCGTGCGTATACGCACAAGACTGACGATGAACAATGCCCAATTTTTCAAATACTTGATGGAGTTTGCGGTATTCTCCACCTAAGTCTGACTGAACACACTTGATAGAACGCGAAAATTGGCGTTCTACCATGACCCGAAACGACTCAAAACAGTTGTATATATCGGATTTTGCCCGAAGGGGGTAAAACCACGTGAATCGCGAAAAATCATCTACGAACAGCAGAAAGTAACGGTATCCACTAGTAGAGATTACATGTGCCGGACCCCATATGTCCGTAAAAATTAAATCTAATACACATTTACTAGTAGACGAAACTCTATTTATTGGAAATCTAGCTGATTTTCCAAGTTGACAAGATGAGCATAACTCGGCCGGCTTTGTTTTATTTGGTGACACTGGACATAACTTGAGGACCTGATTTTGGACATGTGCATGGGGATGACCCAATCTGCGATGCCAGACGACCGGAGTGGTGCGCGATGTAAGAAACGCAAAATGGGACTGAGACATAGGGAGCTTGTATAACCCGCCAACCGTAGGACCTTTAAGCAGAACCTCCCGTGTGACCGAATCCTTCACAACAAAACAATCTCTGTGAAACTCAAAGAAGACACAATTGTCATTTGTCAAACGGTAAACAGACAACAACGGAACACTTAATTGAGGAACATATAAAACATTCGAAAGATTAAGGGATTTAGAAACGTTAGACACGGAAGGTATAGAAGCATGTCCAATTCTTGAGATCATCAAACCTGCGCCATTACCAACGCGCAGGACATCACCACCATTATACTCGTCGGACTGCGACATTAAAGACGGATCCGGTGTGGCGTGCGCCGTGGCCCCGGTGTCCGGAAACCATCCCGAAGCGCCAGAACCAGATGCCGCATCATCTCCCGGGACTGCCATGTTGGCTTGTGGACCCGGCTGCGGAGCATACCGCTTAAAACAATAAAGGGCGGTATGCCCTTGTCCTCTGCAGATCTGGCAGCGAGGGCCACTGCCGCCGCCTCTGCCGTTCCGACCACGGCCACCGCCCCCTCTGCCATTGCCGCGACCCGAGTGCCCGGAATTGCCGCGACCGGAATTCTGTCCACCTGCATTGTTTCGACCACCGTTGCGACCCCGACCTGCATAAAAAGCTGCCAGATTTGCATGTTCTGGGGCCGCCGGAAAGTCCTCCGCATGCAGAAACTCCTGCGCCCTTAAATAATCCGCAATCTGCGGTATGGTGACCGGAGTTCCAGCCGCAGTCAAGGATGACGCCATGGCGCGATACTCCTGCCGCAAGCCTCGGAGAACGAACATGTTCTGTTCGTCTAGCGAGATCGGACGGCCGGCGTGCGCTAGGTCCTCGACTAGCATCTGAGCTCGGCCGAGATACTCGGCAGTGGTGCTGCCGCCTTGCCTGAGGGCGTGAAACTGCCCGAGAAGCCCGAGACATCGCGCACGCGTAGAGCTGGCCAGCGCCGTGTTGATGGAGTCCCACACCGCCTTGGATGTGTTGTGCCCAACCGCAAGGTGCATCACCTCATCTGACAAAGAGGAGATGAGCAGCGAAAGCAATGTTTGATCTTGCTTAATCCAAGCCTTATAGGCCGGATTGGGTACGGAAGTCGTGGAAGTCGTGGACTCGCCGGTTGCCGGTGCAGCATCAATCACAGCTGGAGGACACGGGGTTTCACCATCGACATACCCCATGAGGTCTTGGCCACGGAGAAAAGGAACTAGCTGGGTTCTCCAGAAGAGAAAGTTCCTATACGTCAACTTCAGGGATACGAAATGATGCGCACCGCTGAGTTGATTCGGAGCCGACGCCGGGGTGGCATCTCCGTTGGCCAAGACTGTTCGTTCGGAGGAGGCGGACATGGTGGTGGTTCGGTAGATTTTGAGGGAGAGGGATACGGGAAGGATGGTGAGAGAGAGAAAACAGATTCCTGGTCTAACTGATACCAGATGAGATAAAGGATTTCTGATAAAACTCCAAAAGGATAGGAAACTCAATACAAATAGTTAATGAAGTCTACGTAAATAAATCCTATCTAAGTGGAAAGCCACATAAGACTAAGTCTAGTCTAAAGCTTATTAAATGTGACATATATAAAATGTGACAGAATATTAATCTGACTAACAATAAGCACCCATCTGAGTGGTCTAGATCTCACTTCACTACAGCTGCCAATTGTGACATCCTAGTGAATAACATCTCAGAATCATTCAATGCAATGATCTTGACAGCAAGGGAATGTCCTGTTATTAATTGCTTGGAGATAATTAGGAAAAAGATCATGCTAAGGCTATTTGAGTCAAGGACTAAAGCTGCTGAATGGACTGGATTACTCTGTCCAACTATTCTGAAAAAAAATTGATGACATTGAGTTAGCTGTAGGTGGAATGATTGCCTATCAGTGTGCTCCCATGTTGTTTGAGGTAATTGGGACACATACTGGGCAGTATACTGTTGATCTAGGTAGAAGATCTTGTTCCTGTAGGAGATGGGACCTAACTGGAATCCCTTGCCCCATTGTTGTGTGTGCAATATGGATGAAAAATGGGAAAGGACCTATTTGGCATTATGTGGATCCTTGCTACTCAATATCC